ACTTCAGCATCTGAGGTTTAGGGGGTAAAAAGTGTGACCAGATCCTGTGGGCCATCACATTGTGTCATTTTAATATGGACACATTAGACATTCATTCCTCTCTGCTTTGGCTGTTGTTAGCCTATACAACAATGTTTTTTAAAGGTTTTTAAGAAAAAAGTACATAATGTTATTAAATACATTTTAAAATCTATCAAAAAAATGCTTTGGCTAAAAATATTTTAACTCTATTTCATTTTTATTTTATCATGATAAAAAAAAACCATAAGCAGGTCAGATGATCTTGCTGTGTTTCTTGTGTGAATCTCTTTTACAGACAGTTGCTTCACGGTGTGTTTTCCTTCAGGAAAAAAAACGTTTGGCGATTTTCTCTCTGAGAATCATCTTTCACTTTCCTCACCTATTTTCCAGTTAGTATTTTGCTGCATTTTTGACATAGTTTCCATCACATTCTGCATAAATAAAATCCATTTTCTTTCATGTGTTTAGATATTTATTAGTGGTGGCGGCCCGCAGGACACGCTGCTGCGTGTGTTTGATTGGCAGCCGCTGCGTCTTTGCCTTATTCTCCTCTCTCCTCCTTCTGCATAGAAGACAGCGAGAGAAATAAGGAGGCATTTTCTAATGAATRGCAGCCAATAYAAAACGTATGTCGATTGTTTCCCTTTCTTTTTTTTCTTRGTTTTTTGTCGTGTCATAATTTGATCAGTGGAATGCGGACTTTTTTTCAACTTGCGCGACGCCGGGACAAGAGTGAAAAGTGCGAGACAGTCCCGCACAGTTTGCCTGGGGGTAAATTACCTGCTGATTATAGAGAGGAGCTGCTTCAGCTGCTCTCCTCCTGCACGAGCGCGCAGCGCGTTCACCGAGGGACAGCGCAGGAGTGAGCTCTGCAGGTGCGCACGTGTGTGTGGTGAAGGGAGGGTGTGAGGGCAATATTATTATTAATAATATTAATACTGCTGCCATTATAGTTGTACACTTAATAAGAAGTGCAACCAAGGGCGACAGATGGAGCATTAAAAAAAAGGCGGGTTCGACAGGGGCACTTGATGGTCTGGAGGGAAAAGGGCAGGTGCTCAAGCACCACATGACGTCTATCTGTGCACGTCCCTGCAGGCAGTAGCTACACAGCCATCCTCCAAAGTTTCTTCAGAAACTTTCCAGTTAAAAATAACTTTTTGTTTTCTAACTCTTAGTCCTGAGCTCATTTTTTTATTCTGGAAAATTTATTTAATAGTTGTACTTGATACTAAGCAGCAAGGCGGGATCTTTTTTGATTAACACAGCTGATTTTCTGCATTTTTTTCACTTATATGAAAGTGATGGACCATGATGTCTGAGTTTGCTGTTATTTGCCCCGTGTGTTCACAGGTTGCCTTGACAACGTTTGCTGTGTATGTGACTGTAGATGAGAAAAACATCCTGGATGCAGAAAAGGCCTTTGTGTCGCTCTCGCTCTTTAACATCCTCAGGTTTCCCCTCAACATGCTTCCCCAAGTGATCAGCAGCCTCGTACAGGTGCCCGTTTATTCTATCTTTGGCTTCTTTTTGTTTGTTTGTTTCACATCCTACTCAAATATCTTTGTTCAACTGCTGTTTTTTCTGTGTACGTGTACGTGTACGTGTGTGTGTGTGTGTGTGTGTGTGTGTGTGTGTGTGTGTGTGTGTGTGTGTGTGTGTGTCTCAGGCCAGTGTGTCATTGAAGCGTATCCAAAGTTTCCTGAGTCACGATGAGTTGGACCCAAACGTAGTGGACAGGAAGAGCACAGGCACAGGTTTGGATTAAACACAGTCTCTTCTGTCATTACTACCATAACAGAAGTATCTATTAGGTCTATTGTCATCTTACCATTGTTTSTTCAAAATGAAAGCAGTAATGCTTTGTTACTACATTCCCTTTAGTACATTTAACCCAGTGACTTATAAGTATAATGACTTTACGTTTGTCATCTGTCAACGATTCCAAACCCATTGAAAAGAAAGTCACTTGTCWTGTCGTTGCTCAACAGAGTTTTCAGTCTCAATAGTCAATGGAACGTTTACCTGGGCTAAAGAAGATCCTCCTGTTCTACACAAGTATGTTGTGTAAATCCACACACACACTGTATCAACGTCTCGTGTTTGCATTCCCGAGTCATTGAAGTGACGACTGTGTATTTTTAGCATTAATGTGATGGTGCCTCAGGGCTCCCTGCTGGCTGTTGTGGGCCACGTGGGCTGTGGAAAATCCTCCTTGATCTCTGCACTGCTGGGCGACATGGAAAAACTGGAGGGCGAGGTTTCTGTTCGGGTAGGTGTGTTTTCATGTTGCATATTCCATTGAAATTTTGTAATCACTCATTGAATTTTTACTGCTTTATATCTTTAAAAAGAAAATTCCAATTGTTTTGTGGAATAGTACAGTAAAATTATTTTACCAGTTGCTGCCTACAWGAGTACAAGAGTACAGTGGCTTCAGATATTATTCAGACCCTCTTCTTTTTGCAGGTTTGTTATGTTGATAAACAACACAGTGAAGAAACATTTGTGCACCTCTCTCCTCAGGGTTCGGTGGCTTACGTTCCTCAGCAGGCCTGGATACAAAATGCCACGCTGCGGGACAACATCCTGTTTGGGAAAAGCTATGATGAGCGGAAATACCGCCGTGTGCTGGACGCCTGTGCTTTAACGCCAGACCTGGAAGTTCTGCCTGGAGGAGATATGACTGAGATTGGAGAGAAGGTACAAAAGTAGAAGAAGAACATTCAGTTTTCTGTCTTTCATTTCATAAAATAAAGCAAAGCTAGAACAAATAGCTTTATATGACAGGGTGTCCGCGGGTCCTTAAAAAGTCTTAAATTCATGTTTCTAAAATTATGGACTCTAAAATGTCTTGAATTCATAATAATTGTGTAAARTGGTCTTAAATATACCACTTGAAGATAAAATATTTCACATTTCTGAAATGTTTTTCCAAGAATGACACCTCAACCCACCACTCTAAAAGAATCACCCACTGCCCCTGAAGGAGAAGTCATGTAATKAGTAAATATTAAATACATTTAATAAAAAGGTATTAAATGTATTTGCTCYCATGTGAGCAGTTCACTGCAGTTGAGATACCTGAACCGGTACACCGTTACTCCCACCCCTCTTCCCGAACCAAGCCCCGACCTGCCTGGGACTTTTATATCTAAACTCTAACTTTTTATAAACATTAATGTGATCGGAGCAAAAATTACAAATCCTCATAAAKTGTATTTAATTACTGTCAAGAAGTAAATGTACTTACTGTAATTACTATACACCTCTGCAGAGCTTATATGTTGATATGTGAGATTTAGGTCGTGTTCAGACCTGATAATATGCTCCGCTTTAAACGAACCAGAGTTCGTTTCCAGCGTTGGTCCGGACCTTTTGTGCAGGTGTGAATACACACATGCGAACTCTGGTGCGGATCAAATAACCGGACCGAGATCTGCTTTTTGAGGTGGTCTCGGTCCGCTTCCAAACGAACTCTGGTGTGGTTCACTTCAGTTTGCTTCTGGTGTAAATACAGACCGGACTCTAACCGAACCAACTGCAGTAAACGTGCAGCTTTTTGGACTTCACAGGCCACCGTTGCTGAGCTAAATAAACTGAAAACACCTGTTTCATCGTCTCCTGTTAGCAGCTCTGCTGCCGGCGTGTTGTGGGTCAGAACACGCAGGGCACCTCTTCTCCTTTGGGTCGCGGGACACATTTACTGACGCTGCTCCAAAATTAGATTATCATCACGGAACCACCGTTAAATTAGCTGCTTCTGACATTTTAAATGCTATTGCAGTTGTACTATCAGCAAAAATGTGCGCATCAGAACTGCAGCGTGCAGGACTTCCTTGTTTTCTTCTGGGTCTGTGGCTCAGTCCCGCCCCCGTACTTTTTTGTCCAATGGGAGCAATGATCGTCAGCCTGATGGCTTTGTTTACAAGTTATAGTTCATTTGCAAACAGCACCAAATGAAAAAAATAATAAAGTCCATATTTGGTCCGGACCAAACAATTGGACCAAAGGACTTTCCTGGTCTGAATACACCCTTAGTTTGTGTGTCCTTGATCTGAACAGACATCTAGGTTCATTTTGAAATAAACACAGTCTAATAAAAATTTAGGTTTTGTAAACTGTCTTTTCACAGTAATTAAAGCCTTTTTTGTCCTGCAGGGCATCAACCTGTCTGGTGGTCAGAGGCAGAGGGTGAGCCTGGCTCGAGCTCTGTACAGTGATGCTGATGTCTACCTGCTGGARGACCCCCTGTCTGCAGTGGACGCCCATGTGGCCAAACACATCTTTGACCACCTCATTGGTCCTGAGGGTCTTTTGAAGGGAAAGGTGAGAAGAGAAGGCTCCACAGTTTGATATTTATGGAACGGTAAAGCAAAGAGAATCAACACAGTAAAGACAATCTCAAAGTAACATTTTGCTGTATGCACCACACGACTCTTGGTCAGGCTGAGTTTTGATTTAAATGTCTCAGAGATTTAAAATCGGAGCTACTGCATCACCTCTAACAACTTTCATGACAGWAGTTGCTCAGTGTTGTTGTAGTTCAGGAAATTGAGTCTTATCTTTTTATTGAAGAGGAAGTCATATCAGTTTTACCAGTTTGTTGCTAAATATTATAAACAAGCGCTTTTCTCTGTCAAGGGGGCTCTAACTTTTATGAGTTTTTGATGGCAAAGTTTGCTGATTGAGCAATTGAAGTTAGGCTTGTACAACTATTTAAATTTAATAAAAAAATGCAACCATTTGCAAATGTCATAAACCTAGAATGGAACACAGTAAACGTGAACAATAAAAAATTAACAATAAAAAATAATACACGTTTTGAATTTTTATGGCAACAACAAAAAAAAGTTGAGACAGGATCAACAAAAGGCTATAAAAGTAAGAGGTACAAATAAGAAACAGCTGGAGGAGCATTTTGCAATTAGGTTAATTGGAAACAGGTCATCAAGAAGACTGAAAAGAGTATAGTAGAGAGGCTGAATGTCTCAGAAGTAAAGATTGGCAGAGGTTRAACAAACTGAATGTCTAAAGATAATGGGTTGTTTAGAATAATCCTTTCATCTAAAGTTCATTATATCAGTAAAAAAAAATCACAAATCTGGAAAAATCCCTGAGCTCAAATAAATGTTTGTGATGTTTGTGCCTTCAGGCAGCACTGCACTGAAACAGACATGTTTCTGTTCTGGACATCCCTGCGTGGACTCAGGGACATTTTCACAAATCATTGAGCCTCATGCAAGAACATGTTCATATTCTTCTCCTAAATTTCTCTTACTTTTGTTCGTATGAAGGGTTTGTACGTACGAACATGCCACGCCAGATTCAACAAACTCTTCTGTCTTCAGGAAAAGTGTGTAAATGAGCTGCGTAAACTGATGAATTACGCCTGTTCGTATCCAGATGCTCGTGAACGCGGAGAGGTGATTTACATAATTACCACCCCAAAAACACCATAAAAGGATATACGTTTCCTGCCCCACATACCAGGAAGTGTCCAATCA